GTCTGTTAACATTTTAAAAGTTTTCCTATGTAGGCCTTGACCCCTTAATTTTCCTCAGTGAAGGTTAGTTGTCTGCAACTTTCTGTGGCATGTTATTGTTCCGCGACTGCTTCCTGTCCCGAATGCTTTCTTATCAGCAAGTCTACGTCCGATGCAATCGGTATCGGTCAGGGTCGTTGGTCCTGTTCCTGTCCCCCTCCCCCCTGCTCCTGTTCCTGTTCCTGGCTCCCGTTCCTGGTGACAGATTGTATAATTGGCATGGAATTGATTCGATTACTGAACCGTCGCTCGCTCGACTGGCTTTTATTTTGTTTTCCTTTATTTATTATTTATTTTTTATGTGCAACTGCATTGCATGGCAACAGAGCCATATCAACGGCTGCATGATGCAAAGTATTAATTAGGTAATGAATCCTTTAAGGAAAATGAATGGTAAGGGAATAATTAAAATGAGCTAAAAGCAAAAGTTTCTGGTAAAGGATAACATACATGTGTAGAAATGCATTTTATAAGAACCCATTAATATACATATAACCTTTATTTCTTTATGTAACATAACTTTTCTCATCTGTTGAATGAAAATTAAATCAATCTTTGAGATTAAAATAACATAATTATTAAGAGTAAATAGGCAGAGGTCACTGGCTAATTAAAGTTTGATTGATTTTTCAATTACTAAAGCAAGCTTAAAGCAAAAATAACTTTTATTATGGTGATTCAAATAGTTTAGGCAACCATTATTGGTTTTTATCAACTTATCAGCTAAAGTTTGGCAAATTTTGGCCAAGATAAGGTTAGACCTACTTTCTTTGAGGGTAATACTATATGATTTGTACTATGGTTGTATATATACATATTTATATACTATAAATAATTAAACTATTTGAACAATGGCTAAAGCAAAACTATCCCTGCAATTACATTATGCTTTTTAAGTTGTATCTGTAGTCGTATCTCAAAAATTGTACCAACAATTCTACCTAAAACTCCCAAAAAAAATCCTGTAAATAATCCTCCAATATTTGTGGCTATAACTACCAGCTTCCCAGTTGACCATGTTTGGCAGTTAACCCGGCAATGGCAGCCAAACATTCAACTGCGGATGCAAGACTATGCAAAGCAGCCACCTGTTTTTTGCAACACGATCGCCAGGCTATTGTTGCTGCCATAGATGTTGCAGGTGTATCCATATACACGTACACGTTGCTGTAGGTGTCCTCTCCTCCTGCGCCATTCAACCATTTATTTAGCAGCATTCAAAACTCGTCTAAATCTAAACCGAAGCAACATGTGTGTTGTTTTGCGAGTTGCCAGTGAGTGAGTAAGTGCCGTGCCGGCAAAAAGCGGACACGTTTTGGGAATTCAAAGGGGTGTTGGTGGTGATGGTGTTGTTGGTGGTGCTGGTGGTGGGTGGCGGGTGTGGGGCAAGGTTTTGGTGGCACTCAGCCGGGGGGTGGCGCAGCCTCTGGGTCGTACATGTGTGTGAATAGCGAATAGCTGGCAAAATATTTGCACGACGCAGCCTCGCACACACACACACACACACACATTAGCAAAAGCTAACGGCAGGCGCAGCGCGTGTGGGCGGTTGCGCAACGTCGCTGCTGCTGTTGCTGCCGCTGTCGACTGCGTTGCGTCGCGTTGCTTGCATTGAACTCGGAAGTAGACGCAATAGAAACAGAGAATCAAATAAAACCAGTTGGCGACGCAAGGGGCAGCAGCATGCAGCGGCAGCAGCAACAACATCATCAACATCATAACATATTCAAATCGCCGAGCAAGCAGCGACGCCAGCAGCGCAGCATTCAAAGCTTTTACTCTCACGTGAAAAGCGATGTTTTTTTTTTTTATCACCGCCGCCGACGTAGCTGTTGTTTTGATTTATTTGCTGCTCTGCATCGCGTCACGAATTAAACTAAACCAAGCATCAGTATGGAGCATTGAATAACGGAACTCTCGACGCCGAGGATACTCAGGGAATGGGTGGAGGTGAAACGGAAATAGAGCTAGTTTGTTCCTTTTCTGCGTTCCAAATTATGTAACTAAGCAGCAATCGATCAGTATTTAATCGATACAAACTTTTTTTAAAACAGTGTGGGGATGGTCAGGATCATCTTATATTTTTATCAACATCTTATCGCAAATTGGTATCAGGATCTCTATTTAGTTTCTAAAAAATTCAGGAAAATTAACAAACTGGAAACAGTGAAATTTGAGTCTAATTTTATTAAATTTTTGCTTTCCAAAATAAACGATAAACTGACCGATCACAAGATCAAGACAATCATTTGGTGAAATAATCTGGAAATTATACATTTTAATACAAATTTTATTTGGGAAACAAGCATTAGAGTAGCTGCCGTAGAAGTATCTTTTATTTACTTTGATCATAGCTACAAAAAACTAAAAATCTTGTGGAAATTTGGTATTCCAAATCAACATATGGAAATGTTTTTTATATGATCCAAACCCCTTATTAATAAAATTATCAAACGGAAATTTACCTGCCTAGCTGTACCATATAGTTAATATAAAAATACCCTAGTACAGTCATCACATGTTCATCTACCAGAAAGCACCGATAACAATGTGGCAAGCTATCGATATCAGGCCCGACTAGTTGCATGTCCGTGTCATCAGCTGGAACGGAACTCAGTGCTACCTTTGTACCCCGTTCGATTGGGAATTCAAAAAGAAATATGTATAAAGCTCATTTCTCGCAAGTGAAGTAATGACATCAGCGACAGCGACTGCGACTGAAGCAGCGGCAGCAGCAGCAGCAGCAGCGGCTACGCCAGGATACGGCAAAATATGCGGCACGGCGTAAAATTCGTTGGGGACTTTGGTTTCGGCTGTAGATTGTTGTAGTTGGGGGGTTTGGGGTTTGGGGTTGGAGGTTGGGGGCATTGGCGATTGGGGGTTTCTGTTTCGGTTTTGGTGCCATTGCCATTCCATTCCCGAGCCGGGCCAAGCCAAGCGCGCCTCGGCCAAACTTGAAAACAATCAGTCAGCGCTGGTCCGCAGCCTGCGACGGACTGTTGCCTGTTACGGTTCCTGTTCCTGTGCGGCCGCCACCACCGACTGACCTTCGAAAATCTGGCAAATTAGAATTTGGCGCGCTGCTTGCTGTTGGCTTTATTTTTCAATTTTTTGTTTTTTTTTTTTTGGGCCAAATAAGAGAGATAAGCGAAGCAACAAAAATAATAATGTTTCAAGGCGAAATTCGCACAGCAGCAGCAATCTTGTCGGTATAAAATAGCACAGAGCTAAGGCAACAACAGAGCCAACAGAGCTACAGCTACAGCGACAGCGGTACGGGTGCGAGCCATGAGCTCGAAAGCAAAAAGTACCTGGCAGATACAGATACGACGGCCAGTGTGCGAAGCGAACCAGTCAGCCAACATCTGAGATACAGATACGACGAGCGCAGCGCTGAAATAAACAAAAATGTTCCAACAAAGCACCAGGCAGCGAAAGAGAATGGGAGAGGGAGTGGGAGAGGAGAGAGGAGAGAGAGAGAGAGCGAGCAGCAGCAGCAGGCACTCGGGTTCAGTTTTAGTCTTCGCCGCATACCACACACCATACATACATACATATACATACATATATCTCTATATGCAGCGTGTGGAAATGTACCTTTATATAAACGAAACGAAACGAAAACGAACGATGCGATACGATTCGAAACGAAACGAAGCGAAATCCCAACTGACAAGCACACACGGATACACAGATACAGGCACGTTGAGAGATACTCGCTAGCTGGTATTGGTGTAGACTGTTAGTCAGCATTCGTCCGTCATGGCGTTGCCATATGTCGGTAATCGAGGGGATTACTAATCTGACTAATATGGGAAAGTTTACTGATCATGGGGTCTTGGTTTAGCTTGCTTAAATATGAGCTAAATGTTTTAAAATAAATATATTTGCCATATCAGAAAACTAAATGATTATTGCAAGACATAGTTTAAGTTGTTGTAATTTTAGAATATATGTGCATATTTAAAATCTTTTACTTATTTACTTTGAAATTTAGTTTTATTTCTTAAAAAAAGCTTAGTTTACAAATTTTATTTTATGTAAACTCATAAGTTGGAGCTCACCCTTTTCATTTTTGCCTTTTATAAAAAATATTGTCCCACTTTCAAAATTAAAGCCTTTTAAAATCATGTATTTTAATGTATAGAAATGTATGAAGCTCACAAATGCCGACCATATTATCTTAAAACTTTTCCAATAATCTTGATATTTGAAGTTTTCCCCTATCTGTATCTAGTCATAATATCATTACATTTGATTCTATAAAATATATGGAATGTTTTATATTCAATAGTGTTTAAAAATTAAGTCCACTACTCCCACAAGTTTTAAATACTTTTCAAAAACTAACCAATGGTTATTCAAAATACCCGTCGAATATCTTTTGAATCGTGATATGAACTCTGGCAACCCTGCGACGGTTGGTTGGTTGCTTGGGTATCTTTTGAATACCCGCTCCCACAATCGAACCGATCCAAACCGGCGGGCTAAGGCGCCTGGTTTTGGTTTGGTTTGCACAACGTTTCGCTTCGTAGTTCGTTATTTCGTTGTTGGGATTTCTGCCTTGCCTTCCGTTGCTGGGGCTGAAACTCGCAACTGGCAACGTCGACTGACTCGACTCGCACACAGCTGGCAATGCCGCTGGCATTGTGTGTGCTGCTCTCGCTCTCTGTCATTCTCTCCCTTCCGCTCTCTCTCTCTTAACCCCGCTGTGGTGTCCAGAAACTCGTTCAGTTTCAATGCTTTTTACATAAGTGCGCGTCGCGAGAGCGAGCCAGCAGCATATCTGCCTCCCGCTCTGGCCCTCACTCCGGGCTGGTGCTTTGTACAGGGGTGCATTTACTCGCACGGCGGTGAGTGAGAGAGTAAGTGTGGGTCTGTGTGTGTGTGTGTGTGTGTGTGGCGTTTCGTTTGGCAGCCTGCTGCCTGCTTCTTGAGCGCCGAGCGTTTTATTTGTGATTTTAACGCGGCGTAGCAAGGTCCACGTCGCTAGATAGCTCCGTCAGCTCCAATTCGAAAACGACGTAAACGCCAGCGCGCGTAATTCAAAGTTATCAAAATCCCAGTTGCCCGTTCTTGTTCCCGAAAAAGTGCTGAGTGCGAATAAAAAATAACCAATTGAAAATTATTAAAAAATATATATATTATTAATCTGGCTTGGTACCAGAAAAGTGAACACAATAACAACAACAACAAACAGATTGTAGTTGCCAGTATGTCATCCCAGTGCTGTGATGCCGCTTTGGGCCGCTCCTATGCCTGCTCGTCCCGCTTCCCTTCGGGACACCTGCTGGCCGCCCTCTGATCCGCCCGCGCCCACATCCACGCCCAGTGACTGACTGACAGGGATCTCCGTCCACACACACAAAAGCGAGATCCGATCCTTGGACATACAAAACTTCAAAGCGAAACATTATTTTTTTTCCGTTCATCCATATCTTTTTTGGATACTAAAACGTTGTGAAACTGAGAACGGCCCAGCCGAAAATGTGCACTGAGGTGAGTCCTTAAAAGTCCTCTATAAGGAGGTACATCTATATATATATTGGGAGGATCTTGCTAAAGATACAGCCATATATCTTTTAAGACCTTTTGTTTTTCTATGGAAATTATATGATATTTTTAGCTGTTAAAGTATGGGTCTTAAAAGTTGAAATTCTATAGATTTTTAGAACTTTTGAGATCAGAAAAATATACAACTTCAGAAGTATATTTTTTTGGTCTTAAAAGTTTTGTCAAAGATAAATTTAATACAAGAAATTTAAAGATGAAACAGTACGCAGTTATGTTTTTAGAGTTATAAGATTTATTAGAGTATCTTGAAGTATCGTATAGTACCATCTTATAGATGGATCACTTAAAGGCAACGAAACTAGTCTTAAGTATTTTATTCTTTAGGTTAAGATCTTGGAAAGTTAGTATCTTGAAGTTACAAATAGAGTTTTATAGACTTAATCATGATTAGTTAATATAAATACAAGATCCAGAACTTTCAGGTTCTTACATTCTGGGATACTTTAGATTCTTAAAACTCCTCTTCCTTTGGAAATAACCCTGCAAATAATTAACTATGACGTAATAAATCAATCGATATTTTATTATAAAACAATAATCAAAATAATTGCAAATGTAATTGGGATCGATGAGACTGTTCGATTACTTTACCAAGAAATCCCAATACCAAGAATCTTCTTATCAGCGACTTGAACTTAGGGCGAGTTCAGTTCATGCCAAGTCTTTTGATAAGGCGGCTTTTGTGGGTAGCGCCAATTGGTGAATCACTCAGGTGGCATGCCCCGCACCTGCACCAGCAGCATCATCCAGGCAGCATCTTGCGAAATGCGCGTAGCCTCAACATGTGGTTTGTGCCAAGCTTATTGGCAAAATGCGTGGGCGAGAGCGCGTTTGTGGGGCGGCTGGAGGGGGTGGTAGATGGGTGGTGTGTGGTGCTTTCGTGGCATTGCCATGACATGCAAACTTAGAGGGAGGTTAATGTTGGGAGTTGGGAAGGTTATCAACAAACAAGAATAACAACAAAGGTACAGAAGGCAGGAGCAGAGAGAAGGCTTGGCTGCTGCCATTCAGAGCAATGTAAACAATGCAAAAGTTGCACGTGCAGCCTGCTGGGCAGTGCCCCCATGTTAACGTCCTTCTTGCAACAACACAGAAAAAAAAGAAAGCTTTGATTAGAAGTGATATTTGGAATTTATTACGATTTTTCGATTTTTTTCTTACTTTAAATTACAATTATTATGATAAAAGAAGCTTAACTATAGTCCTTATTAATCTTTAAAGCTTCATTTTATTTTAAAATATTTATAGTTCATATATTAACTATTATTTGGTCAAATCACATGATTGATTTTCCTCTCAGTGCAGTAAATAACGGTCTAGGCTTGCACTGCCCTTCTCGCTCGCACTTTGTGACCGGGATGCAAGAGCATCATGCAGCGCCATCTATTGGCACACATTCGCACAATATGCTAAATAGCCGCAGCCAGCGTCGCAGTCGCGTCGCTGTCGCCGGCTAAGCCGCTGCGCTGCGTCTAATGCAATGCAACAATTGGACAGCCGCCGTCGCAGCAGCAGCAGCCGTAGCGACGGCAGACAGCTGACTTTTGGGGCCGTTTAATTAATTACATGCAAAACGCTCTTTTTTGGCTCTCCCTCATGCTCGTTAGCTTGCTCTCTCTCGTTGGTCACCCGCCCAGACCCGACCTCCCCCCGCCCGACGACATCTTGCGCCCCCGCAGAAAAACAGCAACAAACTTTTTGGCGTCGCTGTCAGCGTCAACGCCAGCGTCACTGCTCTGTTTACGTTTTCTCTTTCGTTGGGCGGCAGCGCGAAGCAGTTTGTATTAATTTCTTAGTTCTTTCGAGAGTAAGAAAAGTTTTACAATGCGTTCAGGTCATGGAGAATACACCGGCGGGTTTGTTGTTGTTATTATAATCCCAATATAACTCAAAAATAGTGGAGAGTACTCTCTTGAAGTTATGGAAACTATATTCATTATTGTGGAATCAGGATTTAACTTGGCTTAAAACTTTTATAAATATCAATATAAATAGTGCTTTATTTTGGTACAGAAATTTATTATGAATAAGGGATAAGTTCCTTTATTACCTCCATTATAATTGTTATAAATTTGGTAATAAACATTTTATAGTTTAAAATACTTAGCAACAATAACCACAAACTAAAGTGCATATAGAATTTGAATGAAGATCTGATACTTTTATTTCTATTCTTCAGCCTCCTTTTAACCTTTCCCTGGCTTAATAACATAATCTTTTACCTTTGCAACTCTTTGTTTACCTTTTTCGAAGGGCATTCGCAATTCGTTGCAGTCTTTTTTTGATTCCTTGCGCCTTATCTTTATATGCCTTTCCTTGCTCTGCTTTTTTAATTGTTCTTTATGGTTATGTGTCGCTACTGTTGTTGTTTTCGTTCCTCTTCGTTGTGGGGTTTTTTGTTTTTGTTTTTGTGTTCTTTTTTTTTTGTTTTTGGGGTGGTGCAAATTCCGGCACGAGACTTAATTCACTTAATTGAGCAGGCAGAGGCAGAGGCAGAGGCGACAGCAAACGTCGACAGCGACGTCGGCAGAGGAGCTGGCCGCGTGCCCTGGCAAATAATAGTTTGAAGTTGGCGCCGGACCCGGCATGGCACGGATATATGTATGAATGTATTGCCTGGCCTGCCTTTTGGTGATTTCACTTTCAGATACATTAACACAAGTGCGCTGAAATGCGCGCGCCTTTTGAGTTATTGGTAGCAGCGTGGCAGCGACGCTGCAGCGCAGCCTCCTTCGCTGCCCATTTTCCTTGGCCTCTTCGATTTTATGAATGAAAATCGCGACTTGGCTGGTTTGGTTTTGGTTACGCTTTGCTCTTGCAGTCAGCCAGCCTCCACAGTTATTTGCATGTGTGTGCGGATGTGAGCGCAGGATATGTGTGTGTGTGTACGTACGCACACACATGGACAGGCTTCTGCTGTTGCCATAAAATAAAAGCCTTTGGGGGGGCATCTCTCTCCCTGTGTGTGTGTGTGCTCCATTAATACCATTATCCTTGGGATGCTGCTGGCCTCGCTTAATTTGCCCTCGCATCTTCTCGGTCCTCGGTTCTCGGTCTTAACTTGTTGCCGGCTCCTTGGGTCAAGTGCAACACGAAAACGCAAATTGCTCAATGAAGAATGTATAATCAAATAAAAAAACAGGGAAGGGAGAAGAGTATGAAGGGTTCCCTTGTCTTGTCTTGCCATTTTTGTTTGTCTTCTAAAAAACGTAAACAAAAGCCAGAGCTCGAAGAAGAAGATAGGGTTTTGATGGCAACCACGGCGAATGAGCAATTTGGTTCCCAGTCACGACTTTTGTCCCCACAAGAAAGTCACCTTTTAGTGGGAGAGATGAGGTATCAAAGGGGTTAAAAGAACTTATATCATTGATAATTTAAAATAAGAACTAGGCTACAAAATATTGTATCTTTTACTTATCAATATGTGTATCTTTAAGTTGTAATAACTCAAAGCGATCCTTTGAACTTAGTTTGTGGATTTAAAGTATCTTCCAACTAAATGTTAAGCCATCTTAAAGTGCTATTTATCTTACTTTTAAAGTAAATTAAAACAAATCATTGACTTTGAATCCAAGAACTCTTTTAATTTCAAGTAAATTCAAATAACGCAGAGTAATTATTGAGTAAGCCATCTATCTTAAACTTTGAGTAACTCATGACAAACCTTTGTATTTGTATTTAGAACCCTTTAAAATTGAATTTAAATTCCAATTCTAATTCCCCGGTGTAATTATAGAGTAAGCTGTTTGAATTTGCTGCATCATGGCACATTTTCCATATCTATCAACGGTAGTAATAGTAGTCAATCCCCCCACCCATCAATTACTATTACTCTATCGTATTAGCCTCTATAAAATCCCAGCCCCCTTGTTAATGACATTCGATTGCCGGCCAGAGGGTTAAGTTAAGTTCCATAGCCCAAGATAACAGATAACAGAGTGTCGTAAGCGTTTGTGGGTTCAACAAACCTCAGGTTGGGCAGTTTGGGGATTTGACGGTGGGATCGGATCGTTGTTGTCGCGCGACTCCAAGAACACTCGTGCTTATCGCTGATGACACTGCAGGTTTGTGGCAAAACAACAGCTGTTTTTGACCACAACAACAGAGAGCGGCAGTCAGTCAGTCAGCAGTCCAGTGTATCCATTATTGTATCTGCGATTGAAAGATTTGCTCACCACGCTCACTCTCGCGTTGCAGCTTATATGGCAACGCGCGCGGTCTTCACTTGGCTTAATGTATGCCCACACGTAGTACACACAAAGACAGCTGCTGCTTGCAGCGGCGAGTTGTGGCACGAAATCTTATCAATGAATGCGCATCACTTGCACTTGTTTGCACCACCTAAGGGGGCATGGCCATGGCGTGGTGGGATGGCTTATAGCTATGAGTATGGGTATGGGTATGGGTTCGGGGAATTACCGGCTGGCGACGACGTAAATGGTTCGACCAACGATGACGACGTCGATGATGATGACGTGACTCACAGACGCTCCATAAGCAACAACTACATCTAGACCGATGCACTCGCACTCGCACTCACACTGGACGCACTGTGGCACACGCACACCATTAGCATTATTAAATCGCCAGCCGCAAATTTGCGGTTGCGTCACCTACTTAACACGCGGACAGGGACAGGGACATGGACATGGACATGGACCATGGCCAGCAGCTGGCCAAGACGATGAGGTGGGCGGGGGAGAGAGTGTGTAAGGCCACGAGGACTTCAGAGAGAGACTTGGGCTCACAGCATCCGTGAGTTTGCTTAAGGATAACAGGCCAACAAGAGCGCCAGCGAAAATTTCCATTAAGCCAAATTAAAGTTATCGTGAGCAGAAAAGCGGCAGAGGGAGATGTGGCAGCAACGCAGGCAGAGTGGCAGAGTACACCACACCATAGACTTTCATTCCAATTCACCAAGCACC